AAAAAAACATTTCGAACGACAACAGTAAAGGATATAATTGCGTAATGTTTAAATTTCGAATGTTTTCATCGTTTTTCCAATTATTAATTCGACAAGGAAGCAAGCAAACGACAAAAGGTAACCGATAACAAGAATTGCGAAGGCTCCATAAAAATTTTTTACAACCAAGGGGTCAACATCAGACTCAGTTTCTTTACTCATAGCAGCTCTCTCTTTCATATATTTCACAATCGGAAGGTTCCACGAGTGAACTTCTTTATAATGATCTTGAACGCCACTTTCGAATATATTGTACATTCTGAAATAAATATAAAGCGTAATTACGAGTTTTTTAAACTAAAAATTCGTATACTTAAAATAGAACTTACATTTTGTTGAAATATTCTTTATGGGGAAATCCTTTTCTCATAACGAATGCTGACGGCATGGAAATTAATACATCGTCAGACACTGTCGCATCCAGGCCGATTTCGATATCGGAAATTTTCATGAAATCTAAATTATAAATGTATGCAATGCGAGTGTAATCGAAGGATTCGTCGTTACCGTTGAAAATCAAATTGTTTGTATACATGATATCATTGGTTAAAATTTCTTCATATAAATTTTTCAAATAACTTAGTTTGGAATTCTGAAAATAAAGGTTATTTAAAACTTTAATATAAATTGTTTTATACATTCACGAAACAATACTTCGAATGCATTACTGGCATTGTAAAAAAGAAAATATCGCGTAACATCTAAATATATTATGTTACTTTTATGTAATTTTTATGTAATAAAACTTCTATTAGTTTTTCCTACTTCTTCATAATTGACTAGATTTTTCTTCTCCAAGTTAGTTCTCGAAGAGTAGTGAAACTCGGCGTGATTTTCATGTTTCAAAACTCGTACATGACTCTGTTTCTTTCTGAAATTTCTCAAATTTCCTTCTATTGTATACCGTCCATAAGTCGTGGTTGATGAACGTTTCCTTCGATTTGATTCTCGGAGATTCAACGAAAGTTTCCGAAGATCAATACATGGTTTTTCTTTTCTGGTTTTGGAATTAGTTTTTTTACTCAATTCAACTTCTGACGTAAAAAATTATTGTTCCACGTCGTATCAGAATATACTTTTATGCTTTCTTGTCTGTCACCTTATCTCTAAGCCAATCGTCCAATTTTCGGTTCTAGAAAATGACCGATTCTCTAAATGCCGAATTTTAAGAATCGAAATTTATTTTATGTAAATACAGTAATTTAAATTTTAAATTACTTTCGGGTAATAAATCTATCTCTTGTAAAAGTCTTCGTTCAGCTATAAAACGTGTTATTTAATAATAAGTACTGTACTGTACATCCGGTATATTAAATATATTTCAGAAGGTGAAATAGATTATGGCCAAATTTCATTTTAAATATTACATTGTGCTTTTATATTTATACACAAAGCTTTCTAATATAAACAGTAAAATCATTTTATTGACAATAAAAAAATCGTCATTTGTTCACGATTGGTTTCAAAATACCGTGTTTCCCCGAAAATAAGACATCAGCAGAAAATAAGACCTAGCACAGATTTTGCTGAATTGCGAAATATAAGACCTCCCCTGAAAGTAAGACCTAGCAAAGTTTTTTTTAGTCGTAATGGTCATCGACAGATGGTTGAAAGTGGCCGTTGGCTTTTTGAAAGTACAGCCACTGATTGGTTAACAGACAATTACGCCACGCGGCATGATTTGCATGCATAACGTTACGGCTAGTGATGGCTAATTGGTCGGCCGGGAACACGCCACATGACATTTGCATAGTGCTACGGTTTAGTAAGCACTAATTGGTCATCGAGTCCGATGTTAATGCTATAAAAAGGCGAAAGTTCGACACACCGGATATACGTCACTCTCGTCTAAGTTCGACTTGGGAATTTTTTTGTTCAATAATAAATATGAATTCTTCTTCCTGGAAAAAATAAGACATTCCCTGAAAATAAGACCTAGCGCCTTTTTCAGAGCAAAAATTAATATAAGACACTGTCTTATTTTCTTGGAAACACGGTATGTCTTTAACTCGATCGACTGTTAAACATAAATTTTGAGGAATTTTTTTCTATTATTCATTGATATAAGTCTTCGGGTCAATCGAGTTATCATGTTGCTTTTTATTTGTCTTTACTGACCTCACCGAAAATATCCACCTATTTTCTACGGGAATAAAACTTGTACTGCCATAGATGACCCATCAGTTTTTTACAAAGAAAAGTAGATGCATTTCAAGCTGGTGAATTTGTTTTTAAAATCTTGTTTTTTCCAGTTAAGGACATAATCATTTTCCATTGTATTATTAACAGCAAAAACAAAAAAAAAAAAAAAACGAATACATCACAAAACCCGTACCCATTGATTATTTGAAAACTTTCTCTTTTTTTTTCTAAAGTGTCGCAATTGTCTGAGCAACCACCAGATCTAACGTTACTTTTTTCAAAGCTTCTTGCAATATCGTTCTAGGTCAGGTAATTTCACAAAAGATATATTCGTATTTACTTAACTACCTTTTACACTCTATAGTAAAAAGCCGCGGTGCTCCTTCGTTTGTTTTCTGTTGCCGCAAATGTGAACAGATTACGAGTTGTAGTCATTGTAATCTGTTTACATTTGAATTGTAGAAGCAAAAGTGAAAATTGATTTAACATTAGAATTTTCAGTAGACCTGTTGCATTTATATCAAAAAAGTGTTTATTAAATTGTATATTTAACTTGTTAAAATATCTTAATAAGAAAACCAATAAAAATAAAACAATGAAATTAGAAAAAAAAACAAATTAGAAAAAAAAGATACTCATATAAAAGCATAAAAATTATTAAAGTTTTAAGTTGTTTTCAAGAAAATTTCATCTTTGTGAAATTAAATGTTATTTTCAAATTAGAGAATAAAAAATAAATAGTTGACATGAAAACAACTTTAGATTTCTGAATTTTTAATAAAGCAATTTACGCACTTTTAAAGATTCATAGAATGCACAACTTTGATAACTCGACCTAAATATCTCTGTACAGTTGACAGATTTTACTGTATTTATAAAGAGATTTAAAATATTTTACGTAAAATATTTTTAATACATTTACGAACAGCAACGTACCTTAAAGAAGTTGATCACATTCGGGTGATCAGGTGCAGTACAAGTAAATTCTCCTTTCTGGACAGCTGATGCTAATTCTTCAAACGTTTTCGGTAATGACTGTTTTTCCTTGGTAATCATAAATGATGTTAACGTTCCACCATAAGCCCAACATATGATCAAAACGGGAAGAATCCAGAAGATTAAGGCCACTCTGGAGGGTGAACGTCTAATGACGTTCAAATCGGCTCCTGAAATAAAAACAAAAGAAATAATGTGCATCAATTACAGTTTTTAAATGAAAAAAATGTCTTGTTATACGTTGTTACTTACCTTGATTGAGAAAAGTTCCGAACAGAAACCAAACGAATCTTCTTTTATTCCAACCCTTGTTATTGTTTTCTGTTGATCTATCATAACTGAGTATTATAAATATGAGTATTCCAGCGACCAAAGTACAGAAGAAAATGGCCAGCCACACCTTTATACGAAAGGTTTTTCTGTGTTTGAAATAACATTTTAAATTTTGTATGAATTAAATTTTTAAGCTTTACTTACCCAAAAAGAGAAAGGAGAAATTAGTGATTTCCAGGAAAGTTCTAAATTCTTGTTTTTAATGACGAATTGCAAAGGGGAAAACGTGTTAATTGGAGTAAACTCAACGACGTCAATCAGATCAGCAGTAATAACTAGGGGCTTATCGGAGATGTCAGCGTCCTGTTAAAACGTAATATTGATAATTTACGAAGTGATAATAATTATGTTTCTGCTAATGCATTCGTAAAGAGCAAATAAAAGTAATTTAGATTTGACGAGAAAATGTTTATTATAACATTGTCACAATGCGAGACTGCAAATTTTAATTATATTTTTATTTATTTATTTAATGTAAAATATACGCTTTTTACCTTGAAATTCGTACTTTTCTACAACGTCCTTTAGCAATGCAGTCGTGCTTCATATTTATTGACCTCTTTTTAAAAAAAATTTATGAACTAAAATAAAGTGACTTCAAAAATACTACTGTTTTCTCTTACATTACAAAACACATAAGGGGGACAATTACGAACATCGGTAGTTTATTGCAGCTTCGCAATGAAACAACTGACATTTCTGGCATGGTGTAGTGTTCTTGGGTTTTTCATTTATGAATAAAATATAAAAATTCATTCGTAGGCCTGTCACTAATCGATCAAACATATGTTCGAGTAAACAAATTGTATGGAAACAGCCTTTAAAGATATACACAACCTACTAATGGAGTTAAAATGCACGGAGAAGAAACACAGGATGATTTCATACTTATATACTCTTTGTAATATTTTAAATTCTTAAATTAAAATCTAATTTTATCTTCGTAATGCTCTTTTCAACAAACTTGAAAGTATCTTAAAATAAATCATTTACACTTGACACAAAAAGTCGCACACTATTCTATTAAATAACATTACTTATTTTTTAATCAAAAAAGACACAGTCTGCTCAAAATTTCTTTTTGAAACCACCATTTCTGATCATGTGTTCCAGAACACCATCGACGACCGGACCTTTCTTTGTAGGCTACTAGGTCATCTGGCTAAAACATTCCTTTAAAAACACACAAAAAAAAGAAGGTGGTTTCAAAAAGGAAATTTTGAGCAGACTGTGTCTTTTTTGATTAAAAAATAAATTATCATCCGGCGAAATTCTACAAGCA